GTAGAATAAAAAAACTTTTGCCTTTTCTTGATGATCCTACTCTTCTCCTTCTTGTTACTTCGTTAGTCTTATCTAGGATTGATTATTGTAACTCGCTTTACTATGGTCTTCCTGACTCTATACTCTATCCTTTAAGTAAAGCTTTTAACTCTGCTGCTCGTCTAGTTGCTCGTGCCCCTTTCTTTTCTCATATATCTCCATATCTTGTTCTCTTGCACTGGCTACCTATAAAATATAGAATAATTTTTAAAATTTGCACGTTCATGTATAAGTCTCAATCTAAATTATTTCCTAAGTACTTATCAGATATATTAATTGAACCTAAACGCCCCGGTTTACGATCGTCTTCTTCTTCTCGCTTTTTCTTAACTCGTGTTAAACACTCTTTTGCCAAATCTGCTTTTGCTTTTTCTGGTCCTTTTCTCTGGAACTCTCTACCTACTTCTCTAACTATTTCTCCATCACTTGCGAAGTTCAGAGCGGATCTCAAGACCCATCTGTTTTCAAAATTCATTGAGGAGCGCTGTTGAACATCGCGGAAATAGCGCTTTATAAGCTAATTGATTGATTGATTGATTGATATAATTGTGAATAGTACAGATTGACAAGCGTATAAATTTTAACTATATATACAAGGTAAAATTTAATAAACTGTAGTGTTTTTGCAACAAATTAATATAGCATATTTATAAAATATAAATTTTAGCTTTAATTCAAATGTATGAAAACACAAAAAAATATAATAATACGTTATAATAATAAAAAAAACCTATAGCACCAAAAAAGTGCAAACCCAAGCGATTGAATAAATAAATATGTATATATATATTTACTAAGTATTACTTGCCCACGGATTATGATAGCTATATATATGTGTGTGTGTGTGGTATATGCTGAAAATCATAATGTTATGTGTATGAATTGGTAATTGCACGCTACAGGTATCAATATTGCTAACAGATATAGTTATCGTAACATTTATTTTTGCGGCTTCGTACAATTTTTAGTTATAAAAAAACCTTGAGTAACTTTTCTCTGTCTATACCTTTCGCTATTTCTTGTTCCAAATTAACAGTAAAAATTTGTCGATTACGCTGAACTTTTAACAATGAACTAATGCCTCCATTTGACTAATTTTTATTTGACGCAGAATCATAAAAATAAAACTATTGACGAGCAACGTCTTGTATTGAACGTTCTGTTTTACTTGCATCTTCCAATAGACAATTATATTCCCAATTTTGGTTCATTATTCTTTTAATATAATAACAGTTTTGTTTAATTTTTAATCATTAATATTAAATACCAGGTAATGATTTGACGACTGAAACCCCGGAACTCGTGGCCGCGAGATATGAATCCTTACTCAGACTGTTAGAGAACAAAATCAGACCACGCCGAATAATCATATTAAGCCTGGTTTATAGAAAAGACGTTCAGAAATGGAAAGTTGATAAACTAAATGTCTCATTGAAACAATTCCAGTCTAACATTGTTCATTTCTGGAAGCTTGACAGAGTGGGAAGAGATAATAATATAGGACCTGACGGCATTCACCTGAATGAACGTGGAATGATGAACTTTAAAAGAAACATCATTTATTCTCTAAAGTGCAAGAAATAAATTTTTAACATTTTTATTTGTAATAAAAAGTTTATAAAAAAAAGTATGCATTGTTGTTTAATATTTCTTTGTATATATATATTATATATGTACCTATATATCCATTTTTTTTATATAAATGTGTTTTTGTGTGTGATATGACTAAATTACTCATTTATTAAAACATTTATAACTTTTTTTATTTAACGTTAAAAAAATTGCGGTTTCAAAATGTAACAAACAAATGTCATAAACAAACCCCAATATCGAAGTTGATTGATACACAGGTTAAGGTTGAATGTTATTAGCATCAAATATCATTACAACGAAAAAGAAAGTTATTAAATATTCACCATAAAGGTTAAAAGGTTAAAGGTTTCTCTCTCTCTCTTTTGCGTTTGCTACAGAGGTTTCAACGAAAAACACACAGAGTGTATATGAATACGCGTGCAAACCACGCATCATACACATTGCATATGATAGGCAGGGATCTCTTTGTATTTGAACCCAGTCAATGCAATAGCAAGACCAGGCGCCTTTAACCATTGAGCCATCACGCCATAGTTATGACAAATGAATACTTGGTTTCGTCGTTTTCGTTTTCAGGTTTAACTGATTTGAAATAACAGGCCTACTCTTTCGCTATTTCCTGTTCCAAAATAACATTAAAAATTTGTCAATTACGTTGAGCTGTTAACAATGGATTAATGCCTCCTTTTGACAAATTCTAATGTGACGCAGTATCAGAAATATAAAACTATTGACGAGCAACGTCCTGGATTGAACGTGCTGTTTCACTGACGGTATTTACTGCCGAAACATAAACATCTGGATCTACGCTAATCCGGTCCGTTTTGTGTTGTAATTTTTATGTCACCTTGGGCCAAAAAACAATGAAGGAAGTTGAGTCATCAACTACCACTACGTGTGAAAATAAAACAATTTATATTAGTATAAACGTAATTCTTTTTAGAGAAGCCAACAAAAAACGGAGATCTGGTACAAAAATTTGTAGCAAATAACTCGTTTAAAAAAGAAAAGAATGCCGCGAATTAAAACAAGAGAATTAAAACATGAATATTTCTTTCGAAAGTAACACTAGAGTTTAAACATGCAGCATAATTCTAAAAGTATTTTTCTTAATTTTATTCCGTTTCAAAACATAATCTAAAAAACATCTAAAATTTAAAAAAGTCCAAAAAGTACAATCACGGTATTCTATTCTGGTATTGCGCTTTTGTGTTAATTAAATTATAAACTATACTACAAGCAAGAGCAGGAATGACGTTGTAACACATCAGATACAGAAAACTTCAAAACTGTGGTGCACTTAGGTTGTTTGCGAGATAATAACAAGGACCAAAAACTTCCATAATTAAGTCCAATACTTCTTTGCAGTTCCTGTTTAATTCACCGAGTTCATTAAAATTAATTTATAAATCAAAGTATAACAAAATTTTAAAATATTCGATAATATACTGTACAATTTTTAAATTGTATTATGATGTTAACAAAATAATATATAGAATCTTATACTATGCACCTGCGTCTCGAACCGTTATTTTCGTTACCAATCGACAGAGATTTAGTAATAATAACGGTAAAAAATATCTCGTATCGTTATAAAACGATACGAAAAATCTCGTATCCTTTAATAACAATATCAGAGATCTCCTATCGTTATTTAAACAAGACATTTTTAGGAAAGTCTATCATATCGAAATAAAAAATAAAAGACACAATTTTCGTCTCGTACCATTATTTCAATGTGTGGAAATGGTAAAAGTGCACATTATAAAAAAATAAAGTGTTATAAAATATTAAAACTTATTTAATTTTTTCCAATGGAATGACTTTGGTTTAATAAAGACTCTAAAAATATCGTATCGTTATTAAAATGAGACATTCTTCAAAAAATATCAAATAAAAAATACGAACAAAACAAACTTTTAATTTTTCAATTGAATGGCTGTTTTCTGGGCGAAATGACTGGGCGGCGTGATGGTCCAATGGTTAAGGTCGCCTGATGCTGTTTCGCAGTAACCGGGTTCGAATGTGACAAAAATATCCCCGCGTATCACATGCTTCGTGTGTAATGTGTCGTTTAGCACGATGTTCATTTACGCTGTTGAATCTTCTGAACTTTGGAAGAGTGTAATTGACCTTCAACTTTTTTCTGTTTTAATACAGTACATTTTGTAAAGCGGAGTTGGCGGGAAAACAACTAAGGGCAGACTGTAAATGTGCCTAGCGTCATTGTTATTGCCCGACGTTCAAATACTATCTTTCAAAACTCAAAAAATCATCAACAACCTTGTGCACTGTCACATACCTTGTCAACATAATTTATTATATCATATAATAGTCTTCAATCCTTCGTTTTGGTATGGTTTCAAAATAATAACCGAGACGCAGTTCGTATGTAACAAAAATTATTTTTAATAATTTCCGTGTATTTCATTAAACCGAAAATTTATTAATCAAAACTGTAAGCCGGATTGACATGATTGAGTCTGCCTGTTTAGATAGGCTTCACGTAGCCAAAATAGTATCGTTTCCAAAAAATTACGAGACCCAGATGCCTTATATAACAAAATTAAATTTTTAATTATTCTTGGAATTATTATTAAACTAAAATATATTAGTTCAAACTGTTCAGCCAATTTGACAATATGGTTCCGGCTTGTTAGATCCCCCAAAACCGTAGCAAATATTACCTTCTAATGTTTCAGCCAATTTGACAATATTGGTTCCGCCTGTTAGATACACCAAAACCGTCGCAAACATTACCTTCGTTTCGTTACTTGTTTTACCTTAGTCAGCGACAAAAAACGTGATGAAAATTATATTTGCAAGACAAAACGTATCACAAGCGATCGACATAAAAAAAACGACCACATGCGTGAGTCGAGTGTCCCGAATTAGAATAAGAAATCACGTGAATTCTCAAGATCACGAATTTATATGTATCTTACAAAAAAAAAACAAGTCATTCAGTCCGTTATTTATATCTCTCGACCAGGCATCAAGTGCGAGTATGATGAACATGGGGTTAACGGTTAACCGTTAACATCATGAAATCGATTCACTTGGTGGCGGGCTTTTCTAAATAAATTTTTGTATAAAGACTATTTTTGTGCCTAAAGCTGATTAAAGTAATACCGAATTCATTGTTGTAGGTAGCATTTATACATAGTTACCGAGAGGACGAATTTTGGATGAATTATTTGCATATTCGACACGCGCAACGTTGAGGCGCTCGATGTTAAGTGAGCAAGTAGCGCATTCTTGCACGAGACGTGAATAAACGATCGAATAATTGAAGACACAACACATGGAATTATATAACTGGAAGCGCCCTACCAGCGTTTTAACATTGAAAATTTTTTTCAACGTGCAAGTTACCTCGGGAAGCAAGTTCCTAAAAAATTAATTATTCATGAGCATTTTGGCTTATTTTTAGAAAAATCTGAGATATAATTAGAAAAATTTTGGGCCTTCCCGAAGTTATGTTAATGACTCTGCCGATCTGCATTCAGCTCGTTTGTTTATTTCGTTTTCAACATTCCGGGAAGTTTTAGGTTAATTTATAAGGTTTATATAACCACCGTATTTAATCGTCGAAGATTTATAATAAGTTCGTTAGCGATCCTCATTTTTCTGAAATAAAGATTTCTTCATTCATTCTCCCAGCTCCCACGAATCACGATGATGATGGACTTCATTTACTTCATATCATTTCATTAGAGTAAGAATCATTCCTAAATTAAATTAGAATCTAGAAAACGAAAAAAAGTCAGTAAAAATTTTATTGTAAAAACTAAAAATGAAATGTTATTAATATTTAAAAATATAACTCACAATCAATTTATAATATTGTTATAAATAAATTAATCAACTAATAATTTTTAAATTAAGATGTAATTCCTGTGCATATGTCCTAAACTAGAATCTTTCAACACTCCAAAGTTTACAATTCAAAGTCCATGAATCGCCCCCCCCCCACACTTTGAACTGAGGTTTGATATTTTATGAAATAAATAACAAAAAGCCAAACACTTCAACTTCTTGATTTTTTTTAAATTGAAAAACATTCTTCAAAACATTGTTCTGTTATATACATGAAATATTTTCAAGACAAATGTCATTTTTCTACATTTTTTTCGGCCAAACCTTGTTATAATGTCTTCAATATCTAATTCAATATCGCGATGAATGTTCATTAAGGCTAATCCCGTTAGTCTTTCCTCATTCATTTTGGAGCGCATCCACGTTTTTAACCGCCTCAGGGTAGAAAATGAACGTTCTGCCGTTGCTACTGAAACAGGCATGGTGCACAATATTGACAACAGGCTGTGAATTGTCGGATAGAGATTGGAATTGCACAATGCGAGAGCTTCAATGGCCGTTTTGGGCTGTGAATTCATCTTTACCCAGTACTGCGTCCAGAGCATTTCTTCATTGCGTACAAATTCAATGGCCGTGTTGTCATCACACGAGGTCAAATTTGTTATTAAACTTTTATATTTCGTAACAGCTTGGTCAATTAAAAACCATGTTTTATTCTGTTCTGCATTACCACTTATTCGGAGGAAAACTGAAGGTATCAAACAACTCAAACCCATTATAGCTATTTGGATTGTTCCAAATTTTGATTTCATGTCTGTTATCATACTATCTAGCATAGGAATAAATATAGCGATCCTGAAATATTCTTCTAATGAGTTACTTTTAATATTTGCACGATTTACTTGTTTTTCTATACATCTTGGCATTTTTAATTCAATATTCAGTTCCTCTGCAACTTTAGAAACTCTCGTAAAGATATCATGAAATATTTGCTCAACATTTTCTCTTCTAGATTGAAGATTATCTATGACTCTATTAGCATGTTGAGCTGCCTCGACCAAATCTAAATTTTCTGTTTGTAAAACTTTGCTTAGTGGCTTAGTTAGAATTAATGGACCGGCAATTGAGTACAAAGCTATTAAAAATTCAGAATCAGTTAAAGCCGATACAAC